AATAATAATAATAATAATAATAATAATAATAATAATATATAATGCAAGAAAATAAAAAAAAATAAAAAGAAACACTTCTCTTGATACATAGGCAATATATCTATGCTTGTAACTATATAAAAACTAAATGATTCTTTTAATCTCTGGAACATTTATTTTTCTTGATTACACATTAATGATATATTTAATGTGTGATAAAAAAGTTGTTTGTATGATAAAAATAGTAGTAGTGATGATTACCTGGCACATGCACAGAAGCATTTTTAATTAGACCGAACATGTGAAAGGTATATAATCATCACACTAGAGTTAAATTACGTTTATATATAATTATGCTATAATTTACATATTTATAAACATTAGTTTATATTATCACTGAGGTATGAACTTACTAGTGAATTTTTATAAATATAGAAAACCTGAAAATGAAATAGTTTACTTAGTAAAATGTTAATGTCAAGATAAAGATTAATATACATGACATACTTATTCAAATTCAGTATACTTGATGCGTCAACATGAAGGTGTAATTATATTTTTATGAATATGGGTTTTTTCCTTTTCCTTTATATATATAGTAAACGTATATTAAAAAATTGAAACTTTATATGAAAAATAGATCATGAGTAAAAATATGAAAAGTAAGTTATTCTAACGCAATTCTGCCTCGCAAATGTTAGAAAATTCATTGATGATTAAATTTTATAATAAATACAGAAAAGTTTTGGATACAAACTTGAATCGAATGAAAATGTTTTAAATTACATTTTATATCGGTAATCATATATTAATGGAAAGATATATACGTATATAATAATTATAATATTCATTTTTTGTTGGAAAACAAATTAATATAAATTATTTTTACAATCAATGAATTATATTATAATGTATTGTCGCTTTTGTTCCATTTATACTGCGATATTTCATTTTCCATTTTATTAATAATTTAGGAATACTGTGTCCCAAAGAATCAAATGAATTTTAATTGAAGGCTTACATAAAATATATAAATGAAAAAAGTAAAAAATGAAGATAAAATCTTCTTTTCTTTCTATTTTATATGAATAGCTTAATTTACATTCTTTATCTGTTTTATTTTTCCTTTTTTCTTCCAATTATGTATATATGTCACGCGGTGGCAGTAGTAGTAAATAGTAAATATTTAATTTTTAAGAAAGAACAAAAATTCACCGATTTACCTATACAATCAAATTCTCCTTATATAAAATAATAACTATAGCGATGATGATGATAATAATAGTAATATTAATAATAATTACAATAAAAGTAAAGAGACTTAATATAATAAACAATAATAAAAAGAAACAAACACAACTTTGGATCACGAAGCCAATTCAATCATAAAATAATATATATCATTTATATTAACCTGACAATGTGTGCATTGTTCTCTTCCACGAATAATTTTGTAATTGATCATATATGCACATACTTGGTAAAATTTATCAAATTTATAAGTTTTAAAAATCCTCAACGTATTTAAAAAATACTCTCTTCTATCCAATGTAATGCCAATCTTTCAAGATTTTTTTTTTATTATGATTTATATATCTTTAAGAGAAATGAACAATACACCTTTTATTTATTTGTTTATTTTCTTTTTTAATGCGTAATCTAAGACAACAAGCTTTTCTCATTGTTACTGTTTCATTAATAATAAACTATAGAAGCGAACAATACAACAATCATCAGGTATCATATTTCTTGAGGAAGAAAAAAATATTTAACTTAGATATTTGAGTTTTACATGTTTTATAAAAAGTGTTAAAATGAACATAGCCATCTTAAACAATAATTCTAGTTTACATATCTGTTCTTTGATAGGGTGTTAATTAATTTTTTTTTCCTTTTCTTATATTTTTCCTTTTCTCTTTTTTTTCTTATTATTTTATCGGTCATATGAACAATCAAACAGACTCGCTGAGACACATGTCTCTAACGAATTAATGAATAATCTTCCTTCTCTTTTTTTCTTTTTCTTTTTCTTTTTTTTTTTTTTTTATCTTTAGTCACATAGTTGTAAATTCGGAGAGAAGTGTCTCCGAATCATAAGCCTACGTATATTAATAATTTGAAATTAATGTGTGTTTGTGTCTATATGTGTTTATGTGTGTGTGTGTGTGTGTGTGTGCGCGCCATAATCGTAACACCTTATAATCTAAAAATACGCGAACGACTTAGGTTTATTAATTCTTTTACATAACCAAAATATTCTGTATTCTAATTTGTGAAGTATTTTTAGATTCTTTTATTCTTACAGTATAATCGCGTTTCTTAAGTCTTTTCGCAAACTTCCGTTAATCCCCAACCCCCCACCCATCCGCCTGTCCCAATTTCTTGATTACAGAGTTCAATCACTTAATTATTTATTTACTTTATCTGATTCCCTTAATGCCCTTTTTGCAGGTGGCTCTTCGATCTGAAAATAAGTTAAACATATGAACATATACAAAAATTAATAATAATAATATTAACTTACTTCCTCTTCCAAACCAGGTAATTGAATCCTAGTCTCAGATGCTTCGGCAGGCTGTAAAAATACCACTAATGTAGAATGTATTATTAAATTGCTTAATCCTTTTGATAATGCTTCTGTGTCTCACTCGTAACTATAAGCATCCATAGATATTTAGCATTGGCTTATAATTTTTTAAGTCTACATGTTTAAAAAAAAAAAAAAAGAAAAAAAAAAAAAAAATGCATTATATTGTATAATATTTTATTTTTTTTATCTATCTTGCGATAAAATTTATATTTCTGTAGTAATGGGCCTGTACAGCAGAAGCATACTCGCAAACGACATAGGCGTCTCGAAAGTGTTAAAGATAGAAAAATTGATAAAAATTGTAGAATGACCTATTACTTATAATCTATATGTATATTATTTTACCTGCGCATCAATGCATTCAACTTCTCCAATTTGCAGCTTGAAATCATAACAATGTACAATAGTAATTTTAACGAATACTTTTTAGATTTTTGTTGTCTACAGCTCAATACTAATTTTATAATTATGAAATTATTATTACGGTCTAAGAATGATCTATTGAATAGAAAATGTTTTAATTCTTACCCTTGCATCAGTCTCATTGGGACCAATACCAACTTCTTTTTGTTGTTTAGATTTAGCCCTACGTTGTGGTCTTTCGCTTACTGTGTGTACGTTATGTAACGTACCTTTACCTTTAGTACTGGTCATATTTATTTGCATTTCTGTAGGTAGATAATTTTTTGTGTTAGCTAATTCGTCCGTACGTTTAAAGTACATCGTTGGTATGCGTGTTTCGCTTGGAAATTCTTTCATATCAAAATTAGTTGTCTTAGAATATATTACGTTCATAGCTATATCACATACTGCCCATAATTTCTGTATAAACAAATATATGATGAAACATTTAACATTAAAAATTAATATTAGAATTATTATTATTATTATTATTATTATTATTATTATTATTATTATAGAGAAAATAAATGATTAATTAATCGTAATCAGATAATTACATAATTCATATTGTTGTCTTCTGGTTTCAATGCATCTTTATGACTTTTCATACGTTCTATAAGGTTTTTATAAAACCCATAACAGTAATACTCATTCTTTGTAATAAGTGGCTCGAGTATAAACCATAGACATTGTTGTATGATTTTTAACTGAGTAATTAGTAAATGACTCGTGAACTCAGGATCATGAGCTAGAATGGGAACTGCAAAAACTAGCATGTAATCGGGCAAAATATGCGGTAGTTGACCTAAAAAGAAGACAATTATAAATATCTATATTTATCATTTTATTTCTTCACATTCTTTAATCAGAATTATCAATTCGTGTGAGACATTAGCTTACTATTTAGTTTCTTACCCATAGCCCGTTCTACAGTACCCAACGACAATGTTTTAACGTAATCTCTTCTTTTGTTTATATCAGTTTGCATATATGTTTTCAATAAACATTTCAATCTTTTATCCTGCTCTTTGCCTGCTAAAGCATAATATCC